AAGTGATGCCCATCCTCACCCTCCTCACCTGTGATCTCATTCTCTTCCAGATCAATGGTCTCCAGGGCAGGGACAGTGGCCAAGGGCTCCGGGAAGCGCCGGAATCTGTTGCGGGAGAGGTCAATGGCCTGGAGGTGCCGCAGGGATGTGATCTCCTCAGGCAGTCGGTGCAGGTAGTTCCCTGCCAGGTTGAGCTCTGTGAAGAGAGAAGAGAGGTGTTGGGATGCAGGGAAAAAGATGGGAAAATCATCAATGCATAGCTTAATTTACACCCTGTGGGTGCCAGGTCCAGCCATGGAATTCCAGCTCCACAAATAGGATTATTTGGGCTATTTTCCATGGTTTGCCATTGTACTTCTGCCTGCTAGGAATGCCACTTTTAGGAGTGAGGTTTTTCTTGTCTTCCTCAAGCTTTGCTGATGTAACCTGTGCAGCATTTTGCAAGCAGTGGCTGTTGAAATAAGAAATATTTTCTAGTAAAGTCAATGCAATTACACCCCCAATAGACATTTGTCATGGCTTAAGGCTAGTTCTCTATCTTCATGTGCCTCAAATCCTTCTGGGGAATCAGCAGAGTGGTGGAAGAAATGTTTTTATATGTGAAAAATACCTATTCTACTCAGTTTACCCCTCTGTGATCCTTTCTCTCTCAGAAATGTGCTCCTGTGTGACCAGGAGCAGTACTCCTGCATGAAAGTCCATTAGCCATGGGAACAGAACCCAAATCCCACTGCCCCAGTGCCCTTCTCCAGTGACACAGGACTTTGTGCTCTATAAATACCCACACAAGCTGCCCTGCACCTGCTCATACCTGGTATTTATAGATCCTGCCTTATTCAGGCTGGCCCCAGCCCTGGGGCATCTCTCCCCTGCACCAGCCCCACTGAGACCTGGTGTGTTCATCACCAGAGTGATTTGTTCACTGGTGGAGCAAAGCCCTTGCTGGGAAACAAGACCTTTTTGCCCTTCAGGGCTTGTTGTGCTGTCTAGAAAATGAAAATTGATTTCCTTTGCTCCATGTGTTTCTTTTCCCCAGCCTAGGGGAGATGTCACTGATGATGCTCTGGCTCCAGAGCCAGGGAAGCCTCCCCAGACACCCACCATGGTGACATTGTGTGGTGCATTGTCCAAGCAGAATAACTGATTTTATAAGCTGCCAGAGCAGCCCCAGTGCAGTCCCCAGTGCACAGTACCATGGTACTGGCTGCTCTGCGTACTTGCATGGCCATCTTTCAGTGGATTAGCTTCTGTCTGCTTTCACTGGGCTCTGCAGGGATGTGTCCCTATGGCACTGATGACCATCCCCATCTCCTGCAGTGACTGACTATCAGTGAAGTCTCATGCTGGGGACTACTTAGCCAGCACCAGGCCAGCATACCTTTGGCAGCCTGGAATGCCCCATCTCTGCTGTGCCCTGGTATTCCCAGGCTGCTTTTCCTGCCCTGTTCCCCCTCACCCCCAGCTCCATCCCTGGAGGGAGCTGAAGGGATGGTAAGTGACCCCACAGCAGCCTGGATGCTGCTGGCAGGTGTCATGGCATGAATGTGAGAGGGTGGCTATAAGGAAACCAGTGCTCCCTTCCAGTAAGGGACAGAAAGAGTAAGGAAAAGTGGATTTTTAGGGATCTGAAGTAGTGTTTGGAATGAGGTGTGAGCACAGAGGTGTGAAAAGTGTGGAGACTCTCTGGTGCTGTGCCCCCTCTGCATCGACCTGGGGGCTCTTTGAGGGTCCTGGGGGCCTGGAAGTGGATGTTCCTTACCTCTGAGCTGGCTGAAGGTGGTGACAAATCGGCTGGTGATGGACTTGAGCTCATTGTTTGCCAGGGAGATGCGCTGGATGCCCTCGGTGACACTCCTCATGGCTTTGTAGATGCCAACAGGGAAGTTCATCAGCTTGCAGTTGGCCAGATCTACCCTCGGAGAGACACAGACACCTCATCACGTGTCCAGCTGGGATGGAGCCATGCTTTCCACCTGGATTGCCACCCCTCAATCCTTGATTTGCCCTTCTGAGTGCTGTCCCCTGCCTACTCCTCTCCATTACAGAGGTATTTGCAGCCCCATCTGGAAGCACCAAGGCTTTGATCCAATCGGGAATGCCAAAGCTGTTCTGCCTTAGGTGTTCAACCCAAAATCACATTGCAACTACTTCCAGGCTGCAATGTCCTTTTGGAAACCCTCAGCCAGCCTGTCCATGTCTAATATCTTCGGTCATTCCCTTCCCTGTGTCCTTAAATCCCTGGGGATAGACAAGCAGTGCAGGGATGCTTCCTCCACTGCTGATGGGGCTGGCACAAGGCTTTCCCTGGGCATGCTCCTGGCTGGAATTCTCCTGGTGATGGGTGTTTGTGGACATGGCAAACAGTCGGGAGGGCAAAAGGATTTGGCTGTCACCTCTTGGCATTTTTGTTTTGCTCTGAGTTGTTTCTGTTTACCCTCCTGGGAGATGCCTAGGATGGAAACTCTGTATCCCAACCCCGTGATGCTCATCCCGGGATCTGCTGCCTTCCCCCCTCCCGAAAGCCACGGAGCAGGCTCTGTCCTCCCACGCTTCTCTCTCTCTGGAAGCAGTGGAGAGGCTGAGCAATGAAGCTCTGGCTCACAGCTGCTTTGTATCCCAGGGCTGGGAATCCAGTGTGAATAAAAGTGAGTGGCTTTCATCTCCCTCCTTTGATGAACTGTGCATGGTTCTTGGATATTAGCTGGAAATGGGGAAATTGCCGGAAAACTGGCAAAGGCAATGACGAATTTGACACGACAACGTGGGTGAAATTCTGCTCCGGCCACGGCTTGCAAGGAGAGATAGTATCCCTAGGGCATGTCCCATGGGATTATGTGCCATGGCTGGGAACCTGCTCTGACTTCGGGGGGCTGAGAGCCCTATGGGGGAGCCTTTCTTG